CACAAACCAAGGTGGAGATTGAAAGAGTTGGTTTTGGTTCTTGTGAAATCAAACTAAATGGAAGATGAATTAATATGAATATTTGGTAGGAAGATAATTAGTACAAAATACAAGTCAAAGATTGTATCTTGGTAGGTGAAAGTTAGGCAAACCATAAAATGATTTGCTATCTTAACCTTGACAATTTTGACACATAGTGATGTCATGGATGACATCAATAGGATGAATTTATTCCTATAAATAGGTAGCTCTTAATTCATTTTCAAATCATCCTTTCACTTGCCTTCTCACCTTCTAAGGCATTGTGTTCTCTCTCTTGTAGTATTTCACTTATATTCCTTTTATAGTGAAATAAATATCGGTGCAGTTGTTCTTTGGTGGACGTAGGATCATTTTGATCCGAACCACATTAAATATTGTTGTTCTTCCTTGTTCTTTAGTTTCACGTTTCCGCTAACATCTGCTCTAAACTGCTAACCTGTAGGGTGCTGTTACACTTTAGGTGCATCATTAATTGGCATTGCCAAGTTACCTTATTGCCTTTTTCCATAGTTCCTTCAGTTCAATATAGAATTCCCTAAACTTAAGTTCGCTGCCAAATACCCGTTTCATTTTAATTTTAAAAGAATATACCCCTCAATTGCTTGCTGGAAAATTATAACGTTTAGAAATCATGCAAACGATGCAACCAAATCTAATGCAAGAAGATAATTAGTATAAATTGTAATTGCAGAAATTGTTACTCTAATTACTGATCTTAGTCTAATTATGTTAGAGATCAGGAGTAAGCTTCTGTAGATATTTGTTAGTTGCTTGTCGATATTTGTTAGTTGCTTGTCTTTGTCCATGAAGCCCTAAAGGTCAACACTACTGGATTACCCACCTAAGCTTTAGATAGGCTGTCATGGGTTTGAGCTTCCCTAACAAACAAAGCAAATATGGCCTGTTTCTGATTTTTGGAACTTGTTGAACAACTCGGATTGTGGTGTGGTTTCTGATTCTTGTTTTTATTGAATTCAGGTTATATAGAGGCTGGTTGGCCAACTTTAGGATCCATCAGGTCGTGGAGATTCAGTCAACCTACTGGATGTAAATGATTTTATGAGTCGATGTGCGCCATGTACCACTTCTGTTACACAGAAACTGGCAAGGCATAGGGACATACTTCATGAATTTACCCTGTGAACTTTCTGAAGTGGGAAAAAGAAAATATATAATCACGACAAATATTCCTTTTCCATACAAAACACTGGAAGTTATTATCACTAAAAAAAGATAGCACCATCCGTACAAATTTTCAAAACTAATCCATCACAATTTTTACACACAACCTATGAATTCCTACAGTTTTCTGCTCGAACGGCTCCAAGGTAATGGAAATATTTTTTCAAAAAGATTCTTCCCAATTTCAATCTCGGGCTCCTTCTTCACACCTCCGAAGCTGTTTAGACTGCCTTGAGCAAATCTAAACGGATGAAAAGTCGAAATCTCCGACTGTGTAAGCAACAACCCACTCTCGATCAAAGCTATACCATACATGGCTATAGCTAGTCTCTGCACATTCTCATCCTACAAAACAAAAACAAAATATTATTGATTCGAAATTTGAGTTTTACAATCATAAGAAAACACAATATATATATATATATATATATATATATTACCTTTGGTTCATGCTGACAAAGATCCTTAATCATCAGATGCCCAGGGTTGATTTCGAGCACTCTTCTACCAGGCATCTGTGCCTGTGGCTCCCAATGTGGTAACATCTCCAAAAATGAAGTCAACCCGTACCTTGACTCCACCACAACACAAGGAGTGTCGAAAAGAAGATGGTTGATTTTTACATCAACATCAAGAAGCTTTGTCCACCATTTAACAAGTTCTCCAAATGACTTCTCGAGGTCTTCCTCGTGGAATTTGAATCCATCTCGGCATATATCATGGAATCTATTCCCCTTATAAGCCAACAGATGTTGGACCACATATGGATCTATATCATCTGTTAAGAGTATCACCTAAAAAACCAGAAAAGAAAGTCAGTTCGCCTCTGTGAAAAATATACTTGTATCAGATTTAAAAGGAATATAAATGATTGGGAAGTCTAGAGAGTGGCTAGTTTTTTTAGTGTTCTCAATCGGTTCACAGGACTACAAATTGGTGAAAATACACTCTGGTGGCTAGGGATCAATAAGGGCTCTCCTACAGGGTCGATGCAACATGTCATCTAATGAACCAGTCCAACATCCAGATTCATAATTGGCCATGGAAGCAAACATGGAAAGCCAAAATCCCATACGAAGTGTCTTTTTTTTGTGTAGTTATTAGCTAGAGAAGTTGTCCTCACATTGGAAAATTGTATATATGTTTCCGTTTTGGATATAAAATACAGTTACTTTTCTAAAAAAAAAACTCGAATAAATTATCGATAAAGAAAATTTTATACCTCAAGATCTTTTTTCTTGATCATCTCAATAAAGGGCGACTTTTTCAACTGATTTTTGGTCGCTGTGAGGTAATATATTTTGTTTTGACCGGATTGCATCCTTGACAAATATTCATCTAGGCTTATCAGCTCGCCTTTGGATTTTGTGCTGCACACATACACAAATGAAAAATCAGTCAATGTCTATAATTAAGGGTTATTAATACATGTTTGAACCTTATGCGATGTGAACTAAGTTTGATATACAAGTGTACAAAGGTAAAAGGGCAATGGCTTTATTGTAAATATGTGCACAACTATCAAAAACAACCTCTCTACCTCACCTTTGAGGTAGAGGTAAGGTCTCCGTACACTCTACTCTCCCCAAATCTCACTTGCAAGACTACACTAGGTATGTTGTTGTTGTGTACAACTACTTCATGTTATCCTGAACTAAATGACCTCTAAATTCTGATTGTCTTTAGATAATTTTGAAGTGTAGATAAAACCTTTAAAAACTGAAAAGTAGCAGGAACGGGGTTTCAAGAAAAGATGAGTCATGCGCCCTTTTCATCCACAAAACTACAAAGCTGAATAAACAGAAATTTTGATACTATAGACAGTAGGAATATTAAATAAACATATATAAATTTTGATACCATAGACAATAGGAATATTAAATAAAAATATATAAATTTTGATACTAACTGATGATTTCATTGCACACACACTTAGGATTTTTCCTAGTTCATTTATCTGCACTCAATACTCATAATACTAATATGGTAAAGCAGAGATACTAGTTGTTGGCATAATGATGCTAACAATTTTTATAGCTACCTTTGACACATTAGCCAAATTCTCCCATTTGCGACCTTCTCTTTCAATTGGAGGTTTCCCCTTTTGAACTACAACCTGCCACACCTGTTTGGGAACCTGCAATTTCTTCTCTACTTCCCCTTGTATCACCATTCCCCTTATCTTGATTCTGGTGTGTCCATACCGCAGACATTCGTTGCAGTATTTTGGCTTCCATTCATAGTATACATGTTGCTCCCACATTCCTGCGTTTGTCTCGATTTGAATCACCCCAGTGAATGGTCGTGAGACATCTAGTTTGATCAAAATTTTGGCATATGAAATCTTAAAAGATTTTGTAGTTTATTGATAAGTATGCACTACTCTACATACTGTACTAGCAACTTTAGTTAATGCCTCAACAGACCAATACTATACTGGAAACTTCACCCAGATAGGTATCAAGCTAAGAGTTTCCTTATCAAACTGGAAATCTAGCTCCCATTGTTTGAGAATGACAGGTTTATTGTTGTAATAGCATGGTAGAATATTAAGAACCCCTTCCTTGTAAGTCGCCAATTCAAATTGAAGATATCATATCCTTCATCAGTACCCTAGGCATAGAAACAAAACTCCAGTTCTTGTCACATAGTTCTTCCGATGTGTTGCGGAAGCCGAATATATAGAGAGTGATGGAATCACAACTACTATATCTAAAGGTAGCTAATAAATAGTAAATGAGACAACAAGAGAAAGAACACCAGGAATTAACGAGGTTCGGCAAACTTTTATTTTCTTTTGCCTACTCCTCGGACACAACCAACCAATATTTATTTCACTCCAAAAGAGTACAAGTGAAATACTACAAGAGAGAAAGAAGAACAAATGCCTTAGGAGATGAGAAGGCAAGTGAGAGGTGTGTTACAGATGAATTAGGAGCTACCTATTTATAGGAGTAAATTCTTCCAATTGATGTCATCCATGACATCACAATATGTCAAAATGTCAACATTTACCTTGTGAAATCAATTTATGGTTCACCTAAATTTCACCAACAAAAGTTGCTATCTTGACTTTTATACCAATAAAGAATTATCCTCCTAACTACCATATCTTCTCATTAATTCATTTTTGAATCTTGTCAAATTTAACAAATCTCCACCTTGGCAAGATTCTCCATTTTCAACTTTCTCTCAACAACAATTTTGATTGTGTCTTCAACCCTAATCTTCAATGTTCAACAATGTTGATCAAGTTCAAACAATGTTGAAACTTGACCGCAGTCACCACTTTTGTCAACATATCGGCAGGATTATCTGCAGTATGAATTTTCTGCATTATGACTCCACCATCTTCTATGATTTCTCGTATGAAATGATATCGGACGTCAATGTGCTTCATCCTTGCATGATAAACTTGGTTCTTTGCTAATTGAATAGCACTCTGACTATCACAAAATATTGTAATTTCTTCTTGTCCAATACCAAGCTCTCTAAGCAATCTTTGAAGCCAAATTGCTTCCTTCGCAGCCTCTGTAATTGCCATGTACTCTGCCTCAGTGGTAGACAAAGCAACTGTTGACTGCAAAGTAGACTTCCAACTAACTGGTGCATTTGCAATAGTGAAAACATAACCAGTAGTTGATCTTCGTTTGTCCAAATCACCTGCATAATCCGAGTCACAATATCCAACAATATATTGACTATCTTTCTGCTTGAAAACCAAACCAACATCTACAGTATTATGAATGTACCGTAGAATCCATTTTACAGTCTGCCAATGATCCTTTCCAGGATTGTGCATGTACCTGCTTACAACTCCAACAGTGTGTGAAATATCTGGCCTTGTGCAAACCATTGCATACATCAAGCTACCAATAGCATTAGCGTATGGTACTCTTGACATATATTCTCGTTCAGCTTCATTATTAGGTGACATAGCATCACTAAGCTTAAAATGAGGAGCAAACGGAGTGCTAACCGACTTCGTTTTTTTATTCATACCGAATCGCTTTAGTACTCTCTTCAAATATTCCTTTTGAGATAAATAGAGTTTCTTTGAATGTCTATCTCTTTTTATCTCCATGCCAAGAATCTTCTTTGCTTCACCCAAATCCTTCATCTCAAACTCCTTTCTTAGTTGAATCTTTAGCTTCTCAATTTCCTCTTAACTCTTAGAAGCTATCAATATATCATCAACATATAGGAGAAGGTATATAAAGGAATTATCTTCAAGCTTGCGCAAATACACACAACGATCGTATTTGCTTCTTATGTACCTTTGCTGCAACATAAACTTGTCAAATCGTTTGTACCATTGTCTAGAAGATTGTTTCAATCCGTACAATGATTTTTCAAGTTTGCACACCATATTTTCTTTTCCATCAACTTTGAATCCTTCTGGCTGAGTCATGTAGATTTCCTCTTCCAAGTCTCCATGTAAAAATGCAGTTTTTACATCCAACTGAACTAGTTCCAAATTTAACTGTGCTACCAAAGCCAACAAAACTCTAATGGAGGAGTGTTTCACAACTGGAGAAAACACCTCATTATAATCAATTCCCTCCTTTTGAGCATATCCTTTGGCCACCAATCTTGCTTTGTAGCGAACATCTTCTTGGTTAGGAAATCCTTCTTTCTTTGCAAATACCCATTTGCACCCAATTGCTTTCTTGCCCTCTGGGAGATTGGCCAATCTCCATGTATGATTCTGATGAAGGGACTGCATTTCTTCATCCATGGCAATCCTCCACTTATCTTCTTCTGAACTTTGGACTGCGTCTTTATAAGTGGTAGGAATGTCATCAGCTGCAATTGAGTCCGCACAAGCCACCATATCTATGAGTCGAGCAGGTTTTCTTAACGTCCTTTTTGGCTTGCCGGTTGCTATTGATTCAAGTTGTGGTTGAGGTTCTTGAGATAGAACCTCCTCTTCGACTGGCTCTCCTTCAAGAGGAAAATTTTCTGTTGTTTCCTTGTTTGATCCCTGTGTTGGGAAAATTATCTTTCCCTCAAACTCCACCTGCTTTGAAGCACCATCAATTTGTTTGGCTTCTTCAAGTGTTACCTTATTTGTCAAGGCAGATTCATCAAAGGTAACATCCCTGCTGAAAATAACTTTTCTTGTCTCTAGACACCATAAACGGTATCCTTTGACTCCAGAAGTAATTCCCATAAATAAAGCTTTCTTTGCTCTTGGGTCCTATTTTGACTCTCTTACATGATAATATGCAATTGAGCCAAATACATATAAAGAACCATAATCTTCAACAAGTTTTCCATACCATTTTTCAAATGGTGTCTTCCCACCAATAGCAGCAGATGGTAGACGATTAATGAGGTGGCACGCATATGTTATTGCCTCAGCCCAAAATTCTTTGCCCAAGCCAGCATTGGACAACATATACCGAACTTTCTCCAGCAAAGTTCGGTTCATGCGTTCTGCCACTCCATTCTGTTGTGGTGTATTTTGACGGTGAAATGTCGAACGATGCCATTTTCTTCACAAATTTTCTGAAAAAGATCATTTTTGTATTTGCCACCATTGTCTGTGCGAAGACACTTGATCTTTCTGCCACTTTGAGTTTCTATCATCGCCTTCCATTTGAGAAAAATTCCCAGTACTTCATCCTTTGTTTTCATCGTATACACCCACAATCTTCGAGAAAAGTCATCAACAAAGGTTACAAAATAGTGTTTCCCACCTAATGAAGGTGTTTTGGAAGCACCCCAAACATCCGAATGAACATAATCCAAAATACCTTTAGTATTATGGATAGCTGTTCCAAATTTAACCCTTGTTTGCTTTCCCTTGATACAATGCTCACAAAACTCCAAGTTGCAAGTTTTTACTCCTTTTAGCAATCCTTGATCTGATAAAGTTTTCAAGGATTTCCCTCCAGCATGCCCCAAGCGCATATGCCACAGCTTGGTCATTTCTGCCTCCTTCTCGTCATTGGATGTTGTTGCTGCTGTCCCAATAACTGTACTACCTTGATAGTGGTACATGTTACTATTTCTTCGAATTGCCTTCATTACCACCAGTGCACCAGAGCATATTCTCATCACGCCATTATCTGCAATGACTTGAACCCCTTTGATTCTAGGGCTCTCCTACAGAAATGAGATTTTTCTTCAAATCTGGTACATATCGAACATCTGTTAATGTTCTACTTAATCCATCATGGTTCCTTAATCGGATTGAACCAACACCATATACGGTAAGAGGATTATTGTTTGCAGTGTGAATAACTCCACATTCTCCTTCTTGTAAATCAATAAACCAGTCCCGATTGGGACACATATGATAACTACAAGCTGAATCCATCAACCATACATCAGATGATTTGGATGGATCTGTTGTAACTAGTGAGT